TCTTAAGGATTTTTTTTTTTACCTATTTTGACTCTCTTATTAAGCAGTACATTTTCACAGGGGAAAAATGATTTCTTTTCCTGATGTCTTCTTAAATTCAATACCTTAATCGATTTAATCCTTGAAATTTCTGGTTAAAACCGTTAGGGAGCAGGTGACCAAACGTGGCTTTTTCTGTCTAACCTCCTGCAGAGCTGCTATTAGGAGAAACTAATCTCTCTGCCCCTTGCTAAATGTTTTTCCCGAAAATACAACCTACCCTGAAAGTAAGTCCTAGCTTGATTTTTACACGTGCGTGCAAAATAAGCCTTACCCCTCTAAAATAAGCCCTAACTAAGACCCGCTCACTCCAGAGTACATAAGTAAAAATTAAGCTAGGGTGGGGGATGGGAGGGGGTGGAGCTGCCCTACTACTTACCTGTGGACAGTTGTAGCCAGGCCTGGCACACCTCCACACCTGCCTTGCCAGCCCATTTCTTCTGCAGCCGGCAAGGCTGGCAAAGCTTTCCTGAAGGCCTCGAGCTGAGAACAAAGCTCAGGATCGACCCAGAGCTCCATTATTGGCTGCAGAGGCCTTCAGGAAAGCCTTGCTAGCTGCAGAAGAAGAAGTTCCTGAAAGCCTCGGACAGTGACAAGGAGGCCAGGGGTGACGCATGCAAGTGAGGTTAGTCAGTGGAAGAGACATCCCCCCAAAATAAGACCTGGTACTTTTTTTGGTGGCAAAAAAAATATATGACGGGGTCTTATTTTCGGGGAAACATTAACACACAAGGAATTTTCATTCAGAGGCCATAGTAAGCCACTTTCGGCATCCTATAGAAAAAGACATTCCTTTTCTGGAGAACAAGCTTGCTTGCTCCTCTCTACCTCTAATTGAAAGTAGGGATAATTCCCCAACAATTTAAGGAGAGCCACTGCCAATCACAGTGGGTAACGTTTCGGCTAACATGCTACAAAAACTGCAGGCTAACTTGATGTAAAGCAGTGTCAACGTTCAAATGAATATTCACGCATCTCTGTAACATTTTTACAGAGTGGCGCTGAAATTATGCAGGTGATTCAAAAGCCATCCTAGTTTAATTGGAGCAGCTTAAAGTCGGACTTGGTCGGAAACATTCATTCCTGGTGGCCTGTTTTTAAGATTTAACAGCATTTGCACGAAAGCTGAAAATTTGGCCCTTGTCTGAAATGGTGCATTGCTACAGAGCCCCCTTAATGCTAATTTCACTTTCCCTGGAATTTTCTTCCCAATTACAGTTTCAGCAATGGGAACAGCAAATCCAAGGTGACATTCGCCACTTCCTCTCCATCCGTCAAGACGAAAAGTTCTCTGGCAGGGCTGTGGCTAGGATTTTCCATGGCATTGGTAAGCTTCCTCTAACAGGGGATCTGCCCTCTGCTGAATTACACAGAGATGCATAGGTCTCTGAGCGAGTTTTTGTCCAGCCTTTTTAACAAAAGGGTGAAGGCCTCTTTTCAAGTCTCAAGATAATACTGTCACATGCGTGTGGTTTTCTGGGCAACAATATAAAACTAGTTTGAAGGGTTTTTTTTTTAAAAAAAAATCCAGGACTAACAAGGTCCAATTTTTCTTGACTTATGAACTCATGCAAGGGAGGTTTGGGAGGGAATTCAAGAATGCAAATGTGCTGTCTGGAAGCCAAACCCCAAGGCCATCATCGCCTGGGAATGTTCGAGGCGGACAGATTGTTTCCAGAATGAAGGAGGTGCAACTGATTGGTGGACAATGGGAGGTCGAGAGGAGAAGTTGTCCTATGCTGTTTGCATATGAAAGCGCCAGAGCTGCCTTTTCTACTTCTGTACCCCCATGGTTTTCAGTAAAGTTATAGTCTTTGGAGAAAAAAAGGTTCCAGAAATTTCTTTTGCTGTTTAATACAGTGGGATGGTTGACATAACTATACACCGATGCGCCCAAGAACGCTAGTGTAAAAGCTCACCTCTCTTTACTATAGCTTTGCTACTGTGGATCCCGGGTTAATTTTTGTCGCCGTTGCTTTGTCTGCACAGGGAGTCCATGCTACCCAGCACAGATTTACGGCCGAGACCGTCGCTTCTGGAGAAAGTACCTTCACTTTGACTTCCATAAGATTATGCGCTTGGCTACAGGGGAGATTGTCCGTTGGAAATGAACGGAGCTGGGCAGAATCTGAAGTGGCGAAGCTCCATCGCGCACAGCTGCTTGTTCCTTCACGGCTATGAAAAGGGAGGTGGCCACCCTGCAAGCATTACATTTCCAGAAGATCTCTGGCAGCCAGATTTCCCCCTGGGCTATTGTCCCATGCTTGATACAAAGTTGGCTGTAGAAACTGAAGAAAGTTCTCTTGGCCTAAACAGCAGTCGATCGGGTGTTCGTTTTTAAAATCAAATCTTAAGTTCACTCCAAAAACATGAAATCCTACATATTTGGCAAAATCTCAAAAGAGCTTTCCTTCATCTCATGGCTTTCCCTTCCAGAATTCTGGCAGTGATGGGGTTGGACTGAGGATTTAGGATAAGGCGTTGATTTATAGTCTTCGGTATTTTTTTTGAAGAACGGATAGTTCCTCTTTCTGAGGAGAGTTAGAAATCTTGATTTGCCTTCTGACATTTGACCTGGACAATGAACTCACAGATTGCTTAACTACACCAGGCAGTACTAAGTAAAGACCTCTAAGTAAAAAGAGGAATGTTTTTGTACTGCACTATAGAATTTTCCCTGGCAAAACTCAGCCTGAATAAAGCAGATCTTTTTTACTTAATCTAACACATCACTTTTGCTTCTTCTGTTCTTTACTGTACAAACAGCATGGAGTTTTAAAATAAGTTTAATCTTTCTCATTTGAGTGGGGCATTAAAGTTTTGTATAAAACTGGGCCAGGAGGGGGAAGGGGGGTAAAGAAACTCATTCCTTGATATATTCTCTAAATCAGGAGTCGCCAACCTTTTGGACCTCAGGGCAGGGACCACTAAACTCATCATTTTAAATCCCACGGACCGGAGACCCTGGGAAAATCCCCCAAAAAGTCTGCAGAAAAATCCATCGCCCCGTTTTCCTACCAATCGATCGTTCTTTATTTGGGAATCGCAGGATACCGTCTCCAACTCTGTTCTCGGGGTGGGGGGTGGGGAGAGACTTTTGGCTTCATGCAAGGAAAGCAGCAGAAGTCTTCCTTTCTCTCCCCCAAACTCCGCCCAAAATGAGTCTTTGTGGGACTTGTCGCACCGGAGCAGCCTCTTGGAGCAGGAGGCCTTGCAGGCTCCCAAAGACTCATCTCTGGCGGAGTTTGGGGGAGAGAGAGATTTTTGCTGCTTGCATGCAGCCAAAAGCAGGAGAAAAGTGGAAAGGAGCAGCCCGATGACCAGGCCAGGCACATGGGGCGAGTGGGGCAAGTTCCCCCCCTCTACCCTTTTCCCCCCTCCCCTCACTACCTCATGTTGTTCGCAATGCAAGCGATGTAAGCCTTGTGTTCCCGTGGGCCTTGTGGGTGGCACCGCCTTGTGTTCCCGCTTGTGGGGGTGACGTTTCTCTCTGGACCACCAAAATTTTATCATAGCCCACCGGTTGTCGACCACTGCTCTAAATCACACAATCTGAGAGCTGGAAAATATCTTTGAGGTCATGGAGCCCAACCCCTTGCTGGTTGCAGGAATTAAAGCATTCCTAAGATAGCCCCATCCCCACCCCTTAGCCATGGCTTTCACTATCAAACTGATTCCAGTTTTAAGTCGTTATGTTCCTAAAGTTGACTTTTCCATAACTCCAGTGAGGATGTTAAGGGCTACCTGTTCTTCACTCACCCCACACTGGGCTTCCTGCCAGGCAGCTGCACGGCTCATCTATGAACAAGCAATGCAGCCCACTGGAAAGACAACCCTAAATTCTAGGGAAAGAGGCTTGTGTCGATCTTTTGTTAAATTTTTATCAGTTGACAAGTCGTCGTTTCTCCTTCCCTCCAAATTTCTGATTGATGGTTTCCTTGGGGAAAAAAAAACTGATGTATTTGAGGAAACCTAGACAGACATCTGGGATAAATAAGTCTGGATGATGTTTTCCCTTAATTTAGAAGGGTGCTTGACTGGGTGAAACCAGGCTCAATAGAAGTAACTGGGAATGGGATCTTGGAGTCTTAGTGGGCAACCAACTAAATGGGAGCCAGCCGTGTACAGCAGCAGCCAAAAAAGCCAATGCAATCCTAAACTGCATTAACAGAGGGATACAATCGAGATCCAGGGAGGTACTAACACCACTCTATGAAGCCTTAGTAAGGCCACATCTAGAGTCCTGCATCCAGTTTTGGTCACCACATTATAAAAAAGAGGTTGAGACTCTGAAAAGAGTGCAGAGAAGAGCAACCAGGATGATGAGGGGACTGGAGACTAAAACATATGAAGAACAGTTGCAGGAACTGGGCCTGGTCATTTTTTTGCAGACATTTCATAACCCAGGTAGGAAACATCCTCAGTGCTATGAGTAGGGTTTACACAGAGGAGGGGGATGAGGGAAGGGGATTATGGGGTCTTTAGTTCTCTCAGAATGCGGGTTTTTTTGTTTTGTTTTTTTGCTTGCAGACGTTACATCACCCAACTAAGTAACATCATCAGTTGCTCTCAGTTTATATTCAAGTAGAAGAATTCCGGCCCCATCCTTGAGGAAACCCGAGGGAATGGGGATGGAGCCGCGACCCCGGAGCACCCAGGTGCGGTTGCAGAGCCTGGCAAGCGCCGCTCCCCATTCTGAAGGGAGATTCCCAGCTTCCCCGTTTGCCCTCGGGGCTCAAAGACTCTGGCAACGGGGGGGAAAGCGCTGAGCCGGAACTATTGTTCCCGGAATGATTTCTCCGCCGGACCAGGAAACCAGAAGCCTTTGCAGTATATTTACGCTGCCCGCCAGGGGCGGCTTTCGCTTTCCGGCTTTCTGCCCACCTCTTCCGGTGCTTCTCTCAGCCCATTGGGCATTTAACATAGAGAGATGAAGGCTAGAATGCCCCTCTAGGATCGGAAGGAGCCAATGGGACACTTCGAGTCGACAGAGCGCCGCTCTTCTTTTTTTTTTCTCTGGGCTCCCAGCGGACTGAATCAACATGGGTGACAGTCTATGTCTCTAAGGGCCCAGGCGGCCTGCAGGGCCTACTCTTTTCCGTTCCAGCCTGCGTCACTTCCGCTTTCTTTATCATCAAGAAGACCGCTTTTCCTCCGCCCAGCGCCCCCTGCTGGTTGCAGCGCGGAGAGACCTCCTTTTGAGCGGTGTTGCCGTGGCAACCGTCGGGGGGCTACAAGCATGGGGGCACCTGCTGGAAGGGGCGCCAGGTTGGGGAAGCTGGGTTGGCCCGCCCTGAGCAACAGCCCCTGAAGGGCCTTTCTACCCAAGTGGGGCCGGCTCCTCCCTTGGAGACGTCAGCTGGGCGGCCCTCTCCTCCAGTGGTAAGGAGTTCCGCAGGCTCAACGCGACCCCCGCCCCGGTTTTTTTGGGTGGGGGCGGGGAGGCAGCACTGGGGGCTCATTAGAAACCAGGCAGAATTGTGGAAAATTTATTTTTTTCAAACTGGGCAATTGGAAGAGGGGTGGACTTCAACTCCCAGAATTCCCCAGCCAGCAAAGCTGGCTGGGGAATTCTGGGAGTTGAAGTCCACCACCACCTCTTCCAATTGCCCCATTTGAACAAACCCTGTCTTAAATACAGGAACTCCTCGGCTTAATGACCACAATGGAGCCCAACATTTATCTGGCTAAGCAAGACACCTGTTCATTGATCACTGGCCCATTTTACGACCTTTCTGGCCACCGTCGTTAAGTGAATCATTGCAATAATAACCTATCAAGAAAGTGACCCCAGGAAAACTGAAACCGTTGTAGGTAGGAGTCCCTTGCCAAGCATCTCAGATACCATAACAGATAATCAGAATTGGAAGGGACCTTGTAGGTCATCTAGTCCAACCCCCTCGCCCCATCTCAATCTTTGATCATTTGATGGTTGTAAGTGTGCAACATGGTCGTGGCGTCAATGCCGTTGTCCCTTTGAACGGGTGCTAAATAGAACTGTCGTAGGTTGTCGTCTACCAGTAAAGATTATTGGTTTTTCTATTTTGTTTATTGAATCAATTAACTGTAAATATACCAAATAAATTTAATTTAACAAATGCAGTCAAAGGGAAACAGGGGGTCTTGTTGGCTGGCTAGTCTTTTCTCACCCTTTCTCTCCTCTCCACCCTTCTTTTACAGGGAATCCTGCAATCACCAGAAGCTGGCTTCCAATAATGTAATTACTTTTCACGATACTTTTCTTTCACAATACTTTTATTTTAGAATAGAATAGAATTCTTTACTGGCCAAGTGTGATTGGACACACAAGGAATTTGTCTTGATGCAAATGCTCTTAGTTCATTCATCAAGAGTCAAGAATCATCAGGTGCAACATTTAATAATAGTCATAGGGTACAATAAGTAATCAAATCATACTAGGAAACAGTCAATATACATCGTAAGGATACAAGCAACAAAGTTACGGTCATACAGTCACAAGTGGGAGGGAATGGGTGAAAAGGAGTGATGAGAAGATTAATAGTAATAGTAGTGCAGACTTTGTAGATAGTTGGACAGTGTTGAGGGAATTATTTGTTTAGCAGAGTGATGGCGTTCGGTGGGAAACTGTCCTTGTGTCTAGTTCTGGTGTGCAGTGCTCTATAGCATTGTTTTGAGGGTAGGAGTTGAAACAGTTTATGTCCGGGATGTGAGGGGTCTGTAGATATTTTCACAGCCCCCTTTTTGACTCGTGCAGGATATACAGGTCCTCCATGGAAGGCAGGTGGGTAGTAATTGTTTTTTCTGCAGTCCTAATTCTCCTCTGGAGTCTGTGTCTGTCCTATTGGGTTGCAGAACCAAACCAGACAGTTATAGAGGCGCAGATGACAAGACTCCATCATTCCTCTGTAGAACTGGATCAGCAGCTCCTCGGGCAGTTTAAGGTTTTATTTTTTATTTTTCCACCTATTTGCTGGGATGTTGTGAAAGCTATTTAGGATGGCATTAGATTGTATTAAGAATAATGGGGAAAACAAGTAGAGTAAAAGAAGAGACTTTCTTTCTTTCTGCGCCTTCTTCACCGCATACCAGAACAACTAGACACAAGGACAGTTTTTCCCTGCATGCCATCACTCTGCTAAACAACTAATTCCCACAACACTGTCAACCTATTCACTAAGACGGTATTACTATTCTTCTTCTCATCCTTCCTGTTACCTATCTCCTCCCGCTTATAGCTATAACCTTGATGCTTGAATCTTTACGGTTTATATTTTAGGGTCATGACAACTCGTAAAGCATTCCTGGCTCGCTCTCGAATTGCCATAAGTGTGTGTGTGTGTGTGTGTGTGGTGTGATGGGAGCAGTTCAGTTCTTATGACCAGAAGCACATTCCTTTCTCCAGATTGTATCCCAGGTTACCAGAGCCAGCCAGAGAGGTGTGTTTTCTACAGCCCGGGGAAAGCGCTCCGTGGGAGAGAGTGATTTATGACACACCCTGGGAGGAAGGAGAGAAATAGGGTCATAGGTGGGCGGTAAATTACATGGGGCAGAGCGGGACAGCACTTGGGAATGTGCTGACATGTTGCTCCTAATAAATAGTTGGATTTATTTTGAAACTTGAGGCTCTTGAATTAATTAGGGAATCCATCGGAACCCTGACATTTTTCTTCGTCGACAGAAATTTTAGCCTCTCTTGTGGTCATAAGTCAAGGACCACCTGTACAGAGGCTCTCCGGGGTCCACCGCTTTCAGCCTTTCTTTCTTTCTTTCTTTCTTTCTTTCTTTCTTTCTTTCTTTCTT